TTTAAGCAATTTACAACTATACTTGTCACATATTATTCTATGATTGAAATTGATAATAAACATTATTAAGGATTCTGTGTGGTCTGGTACAGGAGGAGGTCCATGGCGGGGGGGGGGTGACAATAAGAGTTAACACAGTGGGTGACACCAACCCTAGTGATGCCACTGAAAACAGCATATTCTTCTTCTTCTCTATCCTTAGGCTCTTTGATGGCATCACTACTCTTGGGAAAAAGTCTGAACTCTTTGAATGTGGCTTTCAAATTCTTTCACAATATAGTTCTTGCCTGCTTTTTCAGTCTCATCATTTTCCCTTTCCAGAAGTAAATATATTTAATAGCATTCTAAATAGTTCATGTTTCTTACTTCCCTTGTTCATGATATTTCCTCTTTCTGAAATATCCTGCATGCCTTTTCACTTCTCCTTTTACAAGGTTTAAATTATAAGATTCTCCTTGGTGTCACCCCAGGCAGAAATACTTCTTCACGTTTTCAGGACCTGCTAAAGTCTCCGTCCTTCACTTACCATGTTGTATTTTGAATATCTGCTTAGGGGTCTGTCTTCCCTTCTTGATGGCGAGACTCTTAAAGACACTGACCAACAATTTTCTTCTAGCTGAAAATTCCTAATACCTAGCAAAGTTCTAGGTTTTTGCTAGGCACTAAGTATATTGGTTCATTGAACACATATTTAAGTGCTTTTTGAACATTAAATGAATGAAAAGTTTTAATGTTATACCAATTTAGTCAGGCTGGGATATCATTTGGCATATATTGTATAAGGTCTCTGTTTCCCAAAAACCCAAAGTCTTTCTGGGGTTTGCTGACTCCTGAAAACTTTTTCAGGAGCCCCCAAAAGAGCTCTCAAAGGGGAGTGTCAAAGCTTAGATAATGTGTCATTTATATGACCTGAACATTCCCTAAGTATTGATGACTGTTAGTTTGATCGTATTTTCGAATTTTAAGGTAAAACTGTGGAGACTCAATGTTAAAGAGAACTTACTTTAATTTCAAAGAAGCCTCCTATCCAAAAAGAGTTTAAACAAACTAGGCAGACCCAAGATATGCAGGAAATTTTTGAATCCCCTTTATAGCTAAAGAAGGAGCCCTGGTGGTGCAGTAGTTAAGATCTTGGCTGCTAACCAAAAGGTCAGCATTTTGAATCCACCAGCCGCTCCTTGGAAACCCCATGGGGCAGTTCTACTCTGTCCTATAGGGTTGCTATGAGTTGGAATCAACTCAATGGCAACAGGGTTGCGGGGTGTATCTAAAGAAAGAATCTGGCCCTCACATTCCTCACCTAAGATTTTCATAATAACTTACTATAACATAAGTATTTTATTTCCTGTAAATAGCTTTGGAATATTTCCATTCAAATCTAGAAATTTTGTTTGCTTGGAATCAGTTTTAGTTCTTGGTGAGCTGGAGTAGTTATTGAAAAAGAATGGGCTTTCCCTACTGATATACAAAATGTATGTAGCTCGCAGGTTTTTATGTCTTGAGGCAATAGTGCCATGTGGTTTAAGATTCTTCCAGGGCTTCAAACTGGTTCATTCCAGTTTGAACCCCTGCTGAGAATTTGCATTTCCAACCGCATGTACTAAGCCAGAATCTACATTTTAACAAAATCCCAGGTGATTCTTTAGAGTCCTCAGGTGATTCTTATGTATAAGAATAATTCACCCATAAGAATCACCTGAGGATCTTGTTAAACTGTAGATTCTGATTCAGTATATCTGGGGTAGAAATGCAAATTCTTAACAAGGGTTAGAACTGGAATGAACCAGTTTAAAGCCCTGGATTCTTCATAAAAGGGTTTGAATGACTCGGTGATTAAAAGGTGGTCTCTAGCACCAGATCACCTGTGTTCAAATCCTGGTTCTGCCACTTAGTAACTGTATGACCCTGGACAAGTCACCTAATTTCTCTGTGCCTCAGTTCCCTCAAGTAACTTTAATAATTTTACCTCCTCACAGGATGCATGAGGGAAAGGTCTCAGGATAAATCTGGTACATACTAAGTGTTTAATACATTTTGTCTACCATTATGACATAGGACTCTCTGGAGTCATAACCTATGGTTATAACCTGTGAAATATAAGGGACAGAGCTCCTGGAATAGCCTTAGGAACCTCTTCAATATCTCTTTTACTTTTGAGATTTGTCATGGCAATTTGGGAGCCCTGGTGGCTCAGTGGTTAAGAGCTCAGCTGCTAACCAAATCCACCAGCTACTCCTTGGAAATCCTATTGGTCAGTTCTAATCTGTCATATAGGGTCACTAGGAGTCAGAATTGACTTGATGGCAACATGGTTTTTTTGTTTGTTTGTTTGTTTTATGATAATTTGGAGGTAACAAAATGGGACATGATTGGAAAAGATATTGTAATATTGGAATTTAAAATATGTTTTTGAAAATGTGCCTTTGAAGCAGTCTTGGGTGAGAACATTTCCTGTCCACCATGCTGGTCAATAAAGTATGCCGAGTTTCTGCAGGCTAAGTGGGGCTGGTCCCAGTAACAAGAAGAGTAAACCCTCTCCAGGTGACTTAAAAAAAAAATAAAAGAAAGAAAGAAAAGGTAGTTTTAGGTGGTCTGGGAATACAGACTATGGGTCTCAAAGGAGTTGGTATAAATAATCTAAGACAGGAATCTGGCTAACTCTTTTTCTGTAAAGTGCCAGATAGTAAATATTTTAGGCTTTGTAGCCATGGGATCTCTGTTGTAACTACTCAACTCTGCCATTGTAGTGTGAAAGTAGCCATAGAAATATGTAATAAATAGGCTAGTTGTGTTCCAGTAAAACGTTATTTACAAAACTGGGTGGTTGGATATGGCCTACTGGTCATAATTTTGCCAAACTCTGATCTAAGAGGTACAGTCAAGAGTAGTATTTGGGGTCAGAGAGAACAAAAATCTCTATGAACTGGCTTCTCTGTATTGTTCACACTTCACATTTATTAAGTATCTTCTCTATGACTACAACCATAAACTGATAAGAAAATAATAACATGATAACACACTTGTATAGAACTTAATTATTTATGAAGATTTTAAAAATATATATTATCTCAATTAATTATCATAAGAGACTGATGAGACAGTCAAATAGGGCTAGTATTCTCATTTTACCAGTGTGCATTGTGTTTTATTCATAACACCTTAGATAAGACCCAGTGACAAATTATGAGCTTATAAATTATTATTATAGAATTTCAACAGAAAGGGAATGAGGCCTAGAATGGTAGTAGTAAGAAGGACATGATGAAGATGAATCAACAAAACATGCATTTTTGATAAGGGAAACAGTCCTTGAATCCCAAAGTTTCCCACTAAGTCAGTACCTCTTCTCCTACCACTCATCCTATTCATCTACTTGCACTGAGCAAATAGACTCTTCATTCTCAAGGTAGTTTCCAGTTTCTTAAACTCTCCCAATTCTTCATTTTATTACCACCAACCTAGCTTCTCCTGCCTGATTTCCATAACACATATCCAGTCAATCACAAATTACTATTGATTCTACTTCCAAAATGTATCTTGAATCTATCACACTGGTGCTAGTTCCCTGGTCCAAGCTAACGTCTTTCACCTGGATGACCACAATCACCTCTGCACTTATCTCCTGGCCTTTAAGTTTGCCCTCTCCTACCTATTACTCTCCCACACAACTATAAGAGTTACCTTTTAAAAATATAAATTGTCTGATGTCACACTCACACATAACAATTAGCTCTCCATTGCACTCCACATGCTCTAGGGGATGTGGAGGGCAATGGAAAGCTAATTGTTAAGTACAAAATGATTTGAAACATGCCTGTCTCTCCATATTTGTCTCAATCAATACCTGCTTTACCAGGCTTCTTTCAGTTCCTCATAAATTACAAGCTCTTTTCTACCTCAGAAACTTTGCATATAGTATATCTCCACCCTTCTTCATTTGGATAATTTATATTTATCTTCAAAACTGAACTCAACATTCACCCTTCCAGGGAGGCTTTTTCTTAAATACCAATTTATGTGAGAAACCTCTTACATTCTTTTCCTTTATGGGACTTTTCACAATTTGTAATTACATTTATTTTTTTAATGCCCCTCATGAGAATATAACTAAAAGTGATCAGATACCCTATATGTCATGCTCTATACTCTGTAGCCAGGAGCTATCACAATGTCTGCCATACAATAGACATGGAAGGGGATAGCTCTTTCCTTCTCCCAAATTTCCTTCCATGTCAAGGAAACATCAGCATAAGATACTTGGCCTTTACTCTCTCCTCATTTGTTCCCAAAAGAGGAGGAAGAATATAATCTAGTTGGAGAATTAGCAGTGAGAAACATCTCTCATTTTTTGGAAGAGACAATAGATAGACTTGGTCTTCTCTGTTCCCCTGTTCCCCTGGATCTTCCTTGTGGGGAGCACTGACTTGGTCCTGCCTTGTCTGTGACTGCAAGGGTAATTTTGTCCACTTTGGGGTTGGTATTCAGAAACCCATCGTCCACTGACATATAAGCTACATTCTTCAATTTCTGCCTTATGTAAAATAGAGGTGATATTTTGGCCTGAACAAATATTCTCTTTCTCAATTGGTTCAGAATCTGGGTGGGAAAGAACAGTGATATGTGTTGGGTGCCCTCAAAGACACTGTATCTCCTAAAAAGTAAAATAAAGAGAGATAAGAGAAAGAGGTGGGACTGCATGTGTCCAGATTTCCTCTTTAATCTCTTCTATCTGATCAAGTCACTCCTTTTTCCCCAGAAGTAAGTGGAATGAGGAGGCAGAGACAAGTCCAGAATCACTGTACTAATGGAACTCCCTTCACACTGAAGAAACCACAAGGAGTAGGGAAGAAATGTTCTCTGTTAACAACATGTGATCAGCACATTATTTTATGGGTTATTTCATGAATGAAATAATATAATATGATATTATAAACTAAGTAACTAACTCCTGCTGGCCAAGTGCTGTAACATTGTAGCACCAGAAGTTCCCCAGTGACCACATGAGAACTACCTCACATAGATTTTGTGTAATTCCAGATAACCAAAGAAGCCACAGAATGAAGCTCTGGAATTCCACCTTGAGAAGTGGCTTCATCTTAATGGGCATTCTGAATGACAGTGGGTCTCCTGAACTGCTCTGTGCTACAATTGCAGTCCTATACATGTTGGCCCTGACCAGCAATGGCCTTCTGCTCCTGGCTATCACAATGGATGGCCACCTCCACGTTCCCATGTACTTTCTGCTCAGTCTGCTTTCTCTCATGGACCTTCTGTTTGCATCTACAGTTACTCCCAAAACACTTGTGGATTATCTGCGTGGGGAGAACACCATCTCTTTTGGGGGCTGTGCTTTTCAGATGTTCATGGTCCTTACACTTGGTGGTGCAGAGGACCTTCTATTGACCTTCATGGCCTATGACAGGTATGTGGCCATTTGCCATCCTCTGCACTACATGGTCCTCATGAGGCTAAGGATCTGCTGGCTCATGGTAGCTACATCCTGGATCCTGGCATCCCTGAATGCTCTGATACACACATCATACACTATGCACTTCCCTTTCTGTCTTTCCCAGGAAGTCAGCCACCTGCTGTGCAAGATCCCACCCCTGCTGAAGTTGGCCTGTGCTGATACCTCAGGATATAAGCTTATGACCAAGACCTTCACCGGACTGAGTCCAGTACAGCTAGATGGTGCCCGGCTACCACCGCTGACTGCTCTGACCAGGATCACAACAGAGGGTTCTGGACAGAGCTGGAGAAGGATGTAGAGCATAATTCTAACTCACAAAAAAAAAAAAAAAAGACCAGATTTACTGGCCTAAAGGAGACTGGAGAAACCCTGAGAGTATGGCCCTCAGACACCCTTTTAGCTCAGTGGTAAAGTTACCTTCAAGGTTCACTGATCAGCCTGTGAGTGGACAGCCCAGTAAAACCATGAGAGTAACGAGGTACAGGAGTCCAGTGACAAGGCCCAGAAGGCGGAAGGGGAGTAGGAAGCTGATGATAGGGAACACAAAGTAGAGTAAGGATATTGTTGATGTGTTGTGAGATTGTTAACCATTGTCATAGGGCAACATTTGTAGTAACTGTTAACTGGGAGACTATTTTGTCCTGTAAGCCTTCATCTTAAGTGAGAATAACAGCACAATTAGAAGAGCGTAGTCAATGTCACTTAAATGTGTATGTAAAAAAAATTTTTGAAATGGCGTATCTTTGGCTATGTGTATTTTCACCAAAAAAAAAAAAAAAGAAGAAAATTTTTTAGAGGGTTAAAATGTTGTGGGGTTGTTAACCAATGTCATAAAACAGCATGTGTGTTACTGTTACATGAGAAAATATCTGTTCTGTAAGCCTTCACCTGAAGTACAATAAAATATTAAAAAATAAATAAATAAATAAAATTCAAACAATACTGAGATACTCAAAAAAAAAAAAAAAGATATAAGCTTATGGTATATGTGATGGGTGTAACATTTCTCATGCCTCTGCTTGCTGCTGTTCTTGCCTCCTATACATTTGTCCTAGTTGCTGTCCTCCACATGTCTTCAGGTGAGGGAAGGCAGAAAGCACTTGTCACATGCCCTTCTCATCTGACTGTGATAGGAATGTACTATGGAGCTGCCATGTTTATGTACATCCTGCCCAGTTTCTACCACAGTTCCCAACAGGACAACATCCTGTCTGTATTTTATACTACCATTACTCCAACCCTGAACCCTCTTATCTATAGTCTGAGAAACAAGGAGGTAATGGGGGCCCTCCATAGGGTACTGGGGAGATGTATCTTTGCCCAGAGACTATAGATACTAATGCCATGCAGAAGCCCTATAACTTCTAGATAAGACCACATATATTGGTCTTGAGCTATTTCTTTCCACATTTTCAAAATTCTAGAAATCTATTACACTAGAGCAGGCCCTAGTTTGGTCTTAGAGACATAACTTTGTTTCTATCAGTTTTATGTTTGTATAGCTGAAGAAGCATTCATTTCTCTGATCCACGTCCCAGGATCTGGTTGAAATTCCTTTTTATTCTGATAGAAATGATCCTATTTTTGCTTCTTCTTTTCTTTTCTTCCACTACAACAATCCTAACCCCAATCACACAGGATGTCAGCCAGATTTTTCTGATAGTTCCATTTAAAGCAGGAAAAATGTAAAGAGAAAGTAGAAGCTATTGAACAAAGATACAAATATTCGATTTTACTAGTCCACAGTGACACAATTTCTCAATTCTTATCTCCCTATTAGTGTGAATGTACAGTCATATAATAATAGATTCTTTACTCTGAACAGGTATATCTAGGTCTATAGATTTTCCCTCCCTCTTTGTTTTTATTTTTATTATAATCTGTAATTTTTGAAGAAATGAAAAATAGAATCTCTGAAAATCTAGACTTTGCTCATTACATTCTTGTAGTGTTGTTTGACAGTGGAGTCACTAGGGGGATGCAAACTGCACCCCTGACACTGTCAGAGGAGCTGATACCAAAATGACCCCAGGGCCTGCCACTGACTACTTGTAAGTCAGCACCACCCGGGGAGGGACTGCCAAGGCAGTGATGTGGCTAGGGTTGGTGTCACCTGTCACCCAGTGCAGTAACTTGTCACTACACCCAGTGAGGTAACTTGTCACCTTCCCCGCCCCCACCCCGTCACCAGCCTGTGAGGGTGTGAGCAGCTGGGCTGCGGCAAAGGCCATCGGACAGAGAGGAAGGGTCTCCGCCTCGGTCAGTGGGAGAGGAGAGGAGCAACGGGGTGCAGAGCCGAGAAGGGGGGTGGACTGCGTGTGGCCTGGCCACTCTGCCTACCATGTGGGGGGTTCACCGCCTGGCCGCACCCACTCGCCCACCTGTGCAAGGGTGGGGGGATGACACCATAAGTTACCACACTGGGTGACACCAACACTAGTGAGGCCACTGTTGTTTGACTTGTACCTCTGTCTCCTCTCTTTCCTGCAAATTGACAATAAGAACCAGAGGCTTGATCAGACTGAAGTTTTACTTCTCGGCGAGACTAATTCGTAGATGGTATTGTGTGTACTTCCATCAAGCAGCACATGATACCTGGCTATCTCTTGCTTTGTGGTGTCACCCTAGATCCATTATATAACTGGGAGTTGCAAACTGATAATAATCTAATTCCATTGTTCCTTCTTTATATATTAGTTGGAGTACTTATATAAAGAGAAAATTTCCTTCCTTAGTTATTGAGTATCTTGAGGTACAGTTCTTATAGAAAAACAGGCTAAGTGCTTGGTTCTTATCCTTTATACATTTTCAAAATAATGAGTTGATTTCTCAGCATCAGCCAAAGTTGACCAGTGAGCTTTTTTTTCCTTTAAAAATATCATTATAAACTCATATCTGATATGTTTCAACCCATTGCAGTTGCCATTCATATCAATATGCGTAATTATTTCAACTTGGACCAGTGGGAGCCTCTTCAACTTTACTCCTAAATCTCTCTGATGTAACCCTGGCAGTTATATTTATGTTGATAATTTCTTTGCTCTCTGGTATGACAAGATGTTCCAGGATCACTTTACATATTTCCTGCCTCACACACTGATCAGCCATTTCTCCAAGGAGCCCCTGTTTCTCTTTAGAGGGAAATGCTATGTAGAGACCACAATCTGATCTTCCAGGATGCTTATTGCTATAGAACTGCTCAGTGTTTCTAGGCCTTTTTGGAGGACATCCTAAATTCAATACATCATGAGTTCATACTGACAGTTCTGATTCAGTGAGTTACTTAATCTCACTGATCTTCTTTTTCCCATACAAATATTCCAGTTCCTGATGCCAGCAATATACCACTCAGTTGTTTTTATCTTAAAGTGCACACATCTAAGAATAAAAATGCCAGTACTCTCATGATATAATGACTACTGGAAAGAGGTTTAGATTTTTTTTTCTTTGGATGTGTCATGAATTGAATTGTGTCCCCCAAAAAATGTGTGCAGCAACTTGGCTAGGTCATGATTCCCAGTATTGTATGATTGTGTAATCTGATGTGATTTCCTTGTGTGTTGTAAACTCTATCACTATGATGAGATTACATGTGATTTCCTTATGTGTTGTAAATTCTATCACTGTGATGAGGTTATACTGATGAGGTTGACAGGATTAGACAGTGTCTTGATGCAATCTCTGTTGAAATATAAAAGAGAGAAGTGAGCAGAGACACATGGGAACCTCATACTACCAATAAAGCAGTGCTCGGAGCAGAGCACGTCGTTTGGACCTGAGGTTCCTGCGCAGAGAAGCTCCCAGACCAAAGGAAGACCGATGCACCACAAGGACCTTTCTCTAGAGCTGACAGAGAGAGAAAGCCTTCTCCTGGAGCTGATGCCCTGAATTTGGACTCATAGCCTACTAGACTGTGAGAGAATAAACTTCTCTTTGCTAAATCCATCCATCTGTGGTATTTCTGTTACAGGCACACCAGATGACTGAGACAGGATGTATCCCACTGAAGAGGTACATATGTATTTCTGTGTTTGAAGTCAAAGTTACTGGAAGTAGTTTCTCTCTTATGATGGTTATGCCACCAACTGGATATATAGATAGATTCATTTGTTTCATTTTTCTTTCAAATTTTTGGGATTGCTTTTTTAAATTTAAATTTTGTTTTATAATTATGTAAAATATTTACCTGATTAAAAATTCAATTTATGAAGCAAAGTCCATTCAGAGAAGTCTAGCTTCTATCTCTGTTTTCTCCAGCCTATGTACTTCCACTTCCTGGGGATAACTGTATATGTATACTGTTTGTATTATAACTGTTCATTGAAATTTTGTGAGGTTGTTTTTGTGAGCTAACATATGGACAATATTTGTGAATTTTTTATGTGCATTTGGAATAGTTTATTATTATTATTATAGTTTACAGTTTGAGATATATATGATTATACTTTTAGGCCTACCTTATTCTTAATATTTTTTTGTCCATTTGATAAATTTTGAATTGGTAAAGGTGTATTAAAATTTTCTCTTTTGTGTGTTTCTGGCTACTTATTGCACCTCCTGTAAAGTCTGCTTTGTGAAAGTTATTGTTGCATTATTAGCTTCACAAATATTAATTCTTGTAGCCTTTAGAATTGTAAAGATATAAGCAGGACAAATATTATCCCCATTTCACAGGGTTACATACTGGGAAGTTGTACAAGAGGTAAGAAAGAGTGTCTTAGGACTAGACAAACGTTAGAAACCCAGCTTAGTTCAGTTCTGTTTGATTTAGACAAGTCACTTAATCTCTGTGACTTTCAGTTTATATTTTTTACAATATGGGAACAATATAATAGATAGTCACTATAATTCTGTCCCATCTGTTCAGTCTTCCAAACTAGAAATCTCAGAGTCTTTCTTGATGTTTTCTTCTCTCTTACCCATCTTATTCAATAGACAGGATGTCAAATCTTGTAAATTCTACATAAATGTCTGATAATAGTTTACTACTTAAGTAATTAGAAATTAAAATACTTTTGAATTCTATTAAATGGAAAACATCAAGATATAAATTTTTCTTTACAATATAATGATAGCGTGAAAAAATAATCATGGCAAACTGATCTGAATAAACAAGAATCAACAGGAAAAAAACTGATAAGAAAAATGAAACATTGAATAATTTCAATCTAGCATTCTCCAGAAAAATATAGATCTGTTCTTATATCTGGCATATGACTCAGATACTTGATTTTTACAGAAGTTATCTCACACCTGTCATTATTTAAGACAAGCTAACATTGTTTTAACAGAGGCTACTACATCCTCAAATAAACAGTAATTTTAATAGAGAAATAGAAACTAAAACCAAACTGACATCAAGTCGATTCCGACCTATAGCGACCCTATAGCTACAGAATAGAGCTGCCCCATAGGGTTTCCAAGCAGCAGCTGATGGATTCAAACTGCTGACCTTTTGATTAACAGCCCTAGCTCTTAACCACTGTGCCACCGGGGCTCCAGAGAAATAGAAGGGTGCAAATTTCTATTTGTCTGAGGATTTGAACTGAACATTGTCTGCATGCGCTTTACACTGCATAAAAGAGGGGATAGGTATGGATGGTTTCTTGACCCAGAGCTTATAAAAATTTTTCTTTGTCTAGGGAAGAATTGGCAATAGAGGAAAGTCATGGAATTCAGTCTATGATTACAAAAAAAAAAATTACAAAATGCCCCAAGGCACCTCATTGTGTGTAGAGGTAATAGAAGTGAACTGTTCCTAAGGAGGACTCCAGGGAATGTCTTGTTTACCTCATCTCTCAGGGCCTCATCTTTTAATATTTCGTCTCTGGAAAAGCTCCAGTTCAAGATTGGTGCTTACAAAGTAAGTGTTTACTTCAGTCAAGAAGACCTCAAGAGTTAGGGATGGAATCCACTGAGAAGCCTAGTTCATGCCTAGCTGTCAGGAGAGAGGGTTGAGGATCAGTGGGCCCCAGTCCCATAATCTGGATCTGTAGCGTGTTATCTCTGGATCTCACTCCATTGCACTCAGTATGAGATCTCCTAACCTGAAGTGCCCCATCTCTAGGACAAACTTATCCCAGACCTCCAGGTAAGAAGGAGTGAATTGCTGCAAGGATCAAGTTTCCCCACAGCCTGAGTCTATCCTGGAAGAAGGACCATGTCCTTATTTTTACATCCCGCAGTAAATTCGGGAGAAGACATCTTCCTCTTTCCCTTCTCCTTCATAATCCTCAACCTTAGAAATCTTGGGCTGTTCCAGGGGGTAGGGAGAAAGGAACAGTAATGTGCCGAGAATCCCAGAGGAACCAAACGGACCACAATCACTCAAAC